CAAGTGTTGGGATTAAAGGTATGTGCTACTATGCCAGGCCTAATAAAAATGTTTTTTTGGTTTTTTTTTTTTTTTTTTTTTTTTTTTTTTTTTTTTTTAAAAAGGGGGATACTGCACGACACAGGCGCATTCACATACATGCAGGCAATACACTCATACACATAAAATAAAAATAATAAAAAAAGAAAAAAGGAAAAAGAAAGCTGCTGGTGTAGGCCTCTCCTCTCCCTCTCTCTTTCTGCTTCCTGCCCACTATGAGGTGAGCAGCTTTCCTTACACATGCTCTTCACCTTGATGTTCTCCCCTGCCGCAGTCCTAAAAGCAATGGAGCTGACTGAAACTGAACTGAAGCCTTTGAAACCATAAGCCAAAATAAATCTCTCATTTTTAAAGTTGTTTATGTCAAATATTCTGTCACAGTGATGAAGAGACTAACACACTAAGCAAGTGTGCTATGGCTAAGCTATGCCTCCAGTCCAAAAAACCCTCATTTTTACTGTATTTAGGCTTCTGGTAACTTGCTTCTCCCAAACATGCTCACTTCCTCCCTGCCTCAGGGGCTGTGCTGCTCCCCGGAAAGTTCCTCCATAAGCCTCAGAGGGGCGTCCCTCCTACCGTCTGCCACTCTCTGCCACAGCACCTTGTTTTCTGCTTCCGTTATCCTCTGTTTAGAGTGTCACTGTCAGGCTTCCCCACCAGCAACCCCCCAGGAGAATTCTTCAACACATCTTAAAAAGCATTTGAGCTTCATGGTGCCATGTGCAGTGTTACTGAGGCCTAGGGAGTTTCCACGACTAGACAGCTCTCTGACAGCCTTCAAGACCACCAGTCCAATCCCCTATCTGCTTTCTCATGGCCTCCATCCTTAAGCTGGCTGCTGAGAGCCCCAGCCTAGCACTATCCATCTTCAGCCTGCTCAGCTCCTCACCCCTGCAGCCTCCCTTGCTTCCTCCCAGCCGAGCCCTGATTCTGTGAAAGCCAGGCTTCAGCCACCCACCTGCACCCCAGTGAAACATACACATCCTGTGTGAGCACATGCATGCATACATATGTGCATGTGAACACAGGTGTGCACACACGTCTGCATAAGCACATCCATGCAAGAGCACACTCTTGCATACATACAGGCACTCTCACACACACATACATGTAAACACAAAGAACAGCCCTGCCTTCCATTCTCACCATTAAATGGGGGACCCTGAATCACAGGGGGAGCTCTGTGAGTGGCTGACTCTACCTGAGACTGCCAGGGCCCTTGCCTCTGGTGAGTGGCTGAATACATATCCCCAGCACATAGCAGGCACCCTCCCTACCTGTCCTGCAGGGTACAGAAGCCATGGCCCCTCTGAGGCCTTTGCATACTCAACCACCATCCCCCTCACAATATCTTCCTCAACCACAATATCCCCCTCTATACTAGGCCATTCCTGGCAGTTACAACATGCTCTGGACCTTTCAGTACTTAAAGCAATAACTTCCCCTGGGCTGTGTGCCCTCTAGCTATGGCACCAACTCCTCTAGCTGCTCGGGCCATGCTAGCTGAGGGGAGGAGGGGGCTGGAGCATAAGCCCAGAGCCCTGCTTCTGCTTAGAGCTCATTGAACAAGTCTCAAGGAAGCACCTTGCTTTTGCCCTCGTATGGTCAGTGTGAAACAGCGGGAAGGTTGGGCATTCTAAAGAGGAGGAAACAAGAGGTTCAGAGAGCTTAAACCATCTACCTAAGGCCCCAGAGCCTGTTAGTATTGGACTTGTGAAATAAAAACTAGACGACCCTGGGAATCTTTTAGTCCAAATTTCCTGGTACTGACTGGAGGGTAAAACGCAGAGGTATGCCTTGGGCTCACAGCCAAGGGACCCCTGACTCTATTTTTTTATACACAGGGGCCCCCTCTCATCCTAGGGGCTAACTTTAATGGAATGCAGTCCCTGGCACATAGCAGGCACTCAGGACTATGACTCACAATATAAAGATGCACTGGAATGGGGCAGGTAGACCACCTCTGCCTCTGCCTCCCAGCATGGCTCAAAGCAGAAACTCTAGGGTCAGAAATGGAATCGCGGGGGTGGCAGTGCCTGGTGACACCCTCTGATGGCCTCTACTGTCCACTAGGTTATGGGCAGGAGGGATAGGTCACCCCCATTCCCAGACAGAAGGAATTTCTACCTGGTACCTGACAGGGGATTTGCCCAGAGTGGGGTGTATTCTCTCTGGAGACTACTAGAGAGAGGTGGCACCCAGTCTACCTGACCATCAAGGCACCTGCCTGGAAAATTCCATCCCTGGTACTGTCCAGCTCTCCCCTCCCCTAAGAATCTATGACCCAGATCCACTGGTCATTTCGGGATTCCACAGCCACTCCATGTCACTGGGTACAGCTCCTGTCCCTGCTGCCGCGGAGCAGCATGGCTCCAACTAGGAAGGGCCCCCATCCTGGTCGGCGGCCTGTAAATGCGGCTTCTCTCTAGGCTCCTGTTAAGCCCTACCAAAGGGCTCCTTCTTGCTGCCACCTCCATGAAAGGCAAGACTTGACTCCTAGAGACAGACTTGACACCTGGACCTGCCCCAGAGAGCCTCAAAGGCCAAGTGAACAGCATAGTTTCCAGGTCTGAGGCCCTAGGCCTCACCCTGTCTGCTTCAAGGCCAGGCCCCCTAATAAGGATCTCTCAATTGAGGTTACAGTTGAGAGGCAAGACCCTCATCTATAGACACAGCCAGGCCAGAGCTCCTGCAGAACTGCCCCTGCCTAACATCAGGGTTCCCCTTCAGGAAAAGTCAGTTCCTCACAGGGATGGCCCAGTGGCAAAACACCAGCAGGCCCAGCAGGCAGCTTTCAAAAGCCCGGGGTTAGGAGGGAGCCTCCACCACGTGTGCCTATGTATGTGCCCCTAGGGTCACCTGCCCTGCTGCTTCCCAGGGATGCTGGGACAATAAAGGACCCCCATGAAACTCACTGCACTCACCCTGGGATAAACAGGTCATGCTGATCTTAGGACTGGGCTTGGAGGCAGCACCAAAGGCAGACAGACGCCTTTGGACTCTCACAGCCTGGCCTTGGCTCAGGCCTCTCCTACTCTTGGGACACCTCTCTACTCCCATCAGCTGCTAGCTCTCTCTCTCTCTCTCTCTCTCTCTCTCTCTCTCTCTCTCTCTTCTCTGTAGCCCTAGCTGGCCTGGAACTTGCTATGTAGACCAGGCTGGACTTGAACTCACAGAGACAGTGTCTCTCTGTAGCCCTAGCTGGCCTGGAACTTGCTATGTAGACCAGGCTGGACTTGAACTCACAGAGATCCGCCTGCCTTTGCCTCCTGAGTGCTGGGACTAAAGGCGTGCACCACCATGCCCAGCCAGCCATCTCTTGCTCTTGGGGATGTTCCCTGGTCCCCAGTGATCATGCAGACCCTAATGCTGCACAGATGACAGTCCAGAGTCAGAAACCCAAGTTCAAATCTGAGCTCTGACTCTCTGACACGCCTGTCCCTGTCTCCCCCAGGACTTTGGACAACTCATGACACGTCCCTGAGCCCCAACTTTCTCAGCCACACAGAGGGACTGTGGTGCCAACCCCACAGGGGATGAAGCAAATGATGGGTCTGCAGGCATGATGTCTCCCTGGGAGGCCCTGCCCATCCCACTGGAGGCCTTCTGGGGTCTCACCTCCCGGATCAGCTGCTTCTCAGCCTCTGTGTCTTGCTGGACCACATCAGGGGACAGTAGCTTCTCCTCAGGCTGGACAGGGCTCACTGGTACCTGAGTGGACCGCAGGGCTAGAGAGAAACAGAAACCAAGGAGCTGAGAGTTAAGACACATGGGGAACCAAGCAGAAAGCTGTCTCTACGTAAAATGGAATTGCCCAGCCACCTAACACATCTGTTCAGAGCACCAAGTATTCAGGACACTGGGGAAGCAGCACTTCACACACACCACACATACACACACACACACACACACACACACACACACACCCCACATACACACTCACACACACACACACACACACACACACACACACACTACACTTTCTACTGGGGGAGAAAGGTAAGGAAAAAAAAAAGAATAAAAATGTGTAATTAGTCTGGGCGTGGTGGTGCACGCCTTTAATCCCAGCACTTGGGAGGCAGAGGCAGGCAAATCTCTGTGAGTTTGAGGCCAGCCTGGTCTACATAGTGAGTTCTAGGCCAGCTGAGGCTAAAGGGAAATCCTGCCTCAAAAAGACCAAAAAAAAAAAAAAGAAAAAGAAAAAGAAAAGAATGGGGAGACTGTTCTTCCAATATTGTGGTCAGGCAAGACCTCGGGGGAGGACAGATGAGATGTGAAGTTTGGGGAAAAGTACATGCAGAGATGCAGGGGAAGAGAGCGCTCCAGACAGAGGAGGCAGGGTGAGTGCAAAGGCCCTGGGGCAGGGCTGGGCCTGCACTGGGACACCTACATGGCTGTAAAGGAGTGATGGGGACAGTAGGTAGAGTGGAGGAAGAAAAGGCCAGATTCTAGGAGCCTTGGGGAGGGAATGTGGAGAGAGAAGAGGACACAGCAGAGACCTATGGGATGGTTGGCACGGAGGTCATGCGGAAGATCCTGGAGCAGGAAGGAATGGCTGGGAATCAGGAAAAAGGGTACAGAGGGCAAGTGGGAAACAAGAGTTTCAAACGGAGGGTCGTGATCATGGAGGAGACCATGAAACCAGGGCTATTTGGTTGGCAAGACAGGCCTGCCTGGGGTAGGGTCAAGAGGGCATAGAGGAGACTGGAGATGCTTCACACGGTGCTGAAGAGGAGAGAAATACGAAACAACCAGAGGGAGGAGGAAGGCTGAGAAGCCCCAGGCTAACATCATGGAGCACTGGGCCAGGAGTCCCACACACATGGTCAGATCAGCACCGTGGTCTGTGGTCCCCAGCCATCTGGGTACTAAGCTCTCATGCTGCCTCAGATGATTTCCTCATTGCTCCCTGCAGAAGCGAGCTGTCCTGACTGTCATCACCTTAATCAAGAGGTAGGGGATCCTGGGCCTGGTCACTTACACAAGGAGCAGGTAAGCTGGCTAGTAACTGCTCAGCCTCAGCATGTGACCAGGTATGACACCAGTCACTGCTGTCTGCTGAGCATCATGGCTCCTAACCTGGGAAGGGCCCCTACTTGGAGGGCTGCATTAGCTGCAAGGTTAGGAACCCACTGGCAGAGCTGGCACATCTTCCACTCCCATCTTCCGTTTACCAGTCTTGGGGTGTGCAGGATCAGGATGAGGAGGTGAGAAGGTGCCTGGACCTTCTGCTTCAGCCACTGACTGCCCTCTCTACCTGTTCACCCTCCACTGCCCTTGGGCAGCCAGCAGATATGTGTGGTCACCCAAGTAAGTGTAGCACGGTGTTTGGGAATCTTCACACACACACACTGACTTTTCATTCTGCTCTTTATCCCCGAGGACTCAGCTTGGTCACCATGTCCTCTGTGGCACCTCCTCTGACTGGCCACAGACCCCCAAACAAGCCCAGTCACAGGCTCCTTTCTGTCCAGTGTGGCTGTCTGCCTTACAGTCTATCCCTCTCCCCCCAAGGAGATTAGATGCTGCCTGAGGCAGAGCCTGGGTCTAAGTGATATGCGTCCCCAGTGCCCAGCCCTGGTCCACACAGTGTTGTAGGAACTTGGGATGGATGGAAAGGCAAAAAAGTGAGAGGGTTCAGGATGGAGAGTGAATTGGCAGATGTGTGAACAGCTGGGGAATGAAGTGGGTGATTTGAATAGGAGAATGGGTAGGCAGAGGAGAAGGGAGGAAGTGAAGGATGATGGGTAGATGCGTGAGCACGGCCGAGTAAACAGTAGAGTGGGTGGGAAGGTAGGAAGGCAGGTAGGCAGAAAGAGGTCGGGGTCACTGGTGAGTAGGTGGAGGCTGGGGCTATGGGTGTATGTAGAATTAGCAGACAGGCAGATGGGCAGGAGGAGGAAGGGGGCTGATGGACCCAGACTCTTCTGCGCTCACTGTCACTGAGCTCCCTGGCATCCCCTCTGGCTCTGCAGGCCTGTATTCCAGACCTGGGTTCCTCTACCTGCCAGATGACAGCCTGGGTATAGGAGCTGCAATAACAAGGTGCCTGAGTGGGAGAAAGGGTGGGATGCAGGGAAGTGAGTCACCAGATGCTAAGAACACACTGCTTGCTGCTGCTGCTGCTGCTGCTACAACAGGCAGACAGGTGGATGACAGACAGCAGCCCAAGGCAGGGAGTGGGTGGTGAGCCTATGGCTGACTGCACAGGCCAGACAGACAAACCTCTTCCTGGGGCCACAGGCAGGGGATGTGTCCTGAGCTGAGCCTATCCAGAGGGAGTCGGAAGACATAGGAACATTTGGGTGGAAAATTTGCTTGGCCCGCCCCCTCCTGCTACCCCAGGCTGGCCCACCTGACAGGTAGCCAGGGCCCATCTGCTGGGCCAAGATGGCCTTCAGCCTCTTGATCTCCTCCTGGTACTCTCGGAGCAGGGTGTCCTTGGGGTCCTCATTAATGCGTGGTTTATTCTTGATGTTCTTGGCCCGATTGGCATAACGAAGCGTGCTGAGGGTCTCATCGTAATTGTTGTCTGCAGGGGACAGGCAGGCCACCATCAGTGTCTTGGTGTTGCCACCCAAGGAGTCCTGCAGCAGCCGTGTGAGCTTGGAGTCCCGATAGGGGATATGCTTGCAGCGCCCATCCACCAGGGCTGAGATGACGTTGCCCAGTGCCGACAATGACAGGTTGATCTTGGTCGCCTCCTTCAGCCGCTCCCCTGTGGCCCCGGTCTTAGACTGCCGCTCACTGCCAGCCAGGTCCACCAGGTTGAGCTTGCCTGCGCAGAGGTGGTCCTTACCCCGCTCATCTGTAGACAAGTAGGCAGGGGAGCAAGTGCTGGGTGAGCTCCCCACCCTCCCAAGATAAGGGGAGCTGGCCACCAGGCCCTGAGGGCCCACCACCCACCTAGGACTGCATTTGAGCCCGATGAAGCCTGTGAAGGAGGGGCTGCCACAGTACAGGAGGGACTGGGGCTCAGAGAGGGCATGGAATGAACCCAAAGCCACACAGATGAGGCAAGATGGGAACCCAGGGCTGCCTGATTCCAGAAGCCAGGGTCAGTTCTCTGGGAGCAACAAGATCTCTTTTGGTCACTACAACAGAGCAGACAGACTTCCTGTGAGACCAGAGACAGAGGAAGAAGAGGGGATGAGACAATAACCAAGGAGCTGTGCTTTTTCTTGCAAAAGCACTGGCTTTGTTGCACAGCCCTGCCTCCTCCTTGCTGTGTGACATCAGCAGAGCCATACATCTCTCTGATTCTCAAATTCTTTTTTTGGTCTTTTTGAGACAGGGTCTCCCTGTAGCCCCAGCTGACCTGGAACTCCCTATGTAGACCAGTCTGGCCTTGAACTAACAGAGATCCGCCTGCCTCTGCCTCCTGAGTACTGGGACTAAAGACGTGTGCCACCACGCCCAGCTTGATTCTCAAATTCTTAGCATCTACAAAGTAAAACTAGCATTGGTTGGCTCCCTACAAGTGTTGGTTGTTGGGAGGGGTTAAGGTCAGCTGGCTATACATTCTCCAGGCCTAGCAAACACCCAGAATCTCTTGCCCCAGGAACAAAGCCAACTCTGCGGACACTAGGCTGTGCAGCAGGGCAGACCCTGAGTGTGGAGCTGACAGGAGAGTTGGGCACTGGTCTCAGATGCACAGGTCTTGAAGACAGCCCTGGAGGACCCCATCCTTAGTGACAGTGAATCTCAGGGGAATTTCACCTTTGAACTGCGCCCCCCCCCCGAGGCTCAGCCCTTCCCCCAGTGAGATGGTAAGAAACTCCAACTGAAAGAGTCCTCGTGAGGTGCCACTCACTGAGAGGGCTCCAGGTGGTGGCTGACCACGGAATGACAGCCTGCTGACCAGTACTGCTCATGGTTCCTATGTCACCAGGCTACCTCCCTCCAGACTTAGCAGTGGATTGTGCCCAGATTCAGGACTGTGGGAAGTGCCAGGATAAGGGAGCAACTTGCTAAGGTTCCTACTGGTGGAAACCAGAACAGGCCTGAGTTACATACACAGCAATCTGAAGAAGGGAGGTAAGATGCTTGCCGGCATTTGGTAGAGATGGGTGAGACTTGGGTCTGTAGGCCCTTAAAAAAGAGAGGAAAAAAAGAGCAGGAAAGAGTTCTATTTTGGAAAGCTCTCTGTAGAATGTACTGAGATGAACCAGGAACCTTGAAGGTATTCGTACAAGTCAGGATCAGGGAGTCTAGCCTTAGCAAATGAATCTCAGAGAAGAAAAGGCTTTGAGCACAAAGACATTAGTGGTATCATCCAAGGCACTGCTAAACCAGAAACATCAGCACCCTGTGACTGATTAGCAAAGGTGTGAGCTGTGGACAGTCCTCAACCCATGGTCGCAAAGACTTGGCAATGATACAGCCAGTGGAAAACAAAGCTCCAGAGATAGCCCTCCTGGAGTGTGAAGTTTCAATTGTGTTAAATTTTCATAGGGAAAAAAGGATGCAAAAAAGCAGGCTTAGATATCAGTGGTGAGCTATGCTTAGCTATCAGCCTGTCCTTCAGACTCTCTAACAAAGCCTGACAGTGTTCAGAAGCTTCTCCTATCCACTGACCAGCCAGCTGCCCACTGCCAGCCCTGCTCCAGTTGAAAGGCATAAGGCTATGCTCATACTGATCCTGCCCCCCCCCAGATTGGCATCTCCAGGGACCCTTAAGCTGACGATTTTGTGCTCAGCAAGCACCTGGGCACTGGTCTGGGGACAGATCACGCAGGTTGGTGAGTGGATAGTATGGAAGGAGACTCCATCAGCCCCGGCCTTGACTTTAGGTCAGGGGTCTCTCCATAATTATGTTTCTAGTTGGGCTGGGGCTGCTTCACAAATTCAGGTGTAGCTGCAGGTTTAGTGGAAATGCACAGGTACCAGGAAGCCTGGGTTCAAATTCCCGGAATGAGCACACCTCTCAGATCCTCAGGTATATGAAGAGAATGACCCCGCCTGCCTTGAGGAGGCTGTGGAGGTACAAGGAGGAGGAGTGGGAAGTGTGCCAGGCGGCATCGGGCCTACGAGTGCTGGAAATAGACGTGGGTCTCTTTCCTCTTCTCTTTCTCACACATTCTTCCAGAAAGAGGAAGAGGCAGATGAACAGAGAGCAGAGAACACTGCTGAGAAAGAGGAGCTGGAGGTCTGAGTGGTACTCTGCAGACAGACTCCTGGCATGGAAGGCCAGCTGAGCCCTTTAATTTCCCAGGGATGGAATCCAGGCCTGGAGCCTGGGCAAGTACTCTACACCTGAGCTCCATCCCAGCCCTGAGACCTCAGTTTTCTCATTTGATGGTAACTAGTATGTAGCTCATGGGGCTATTGTAAGAACCAGGTGAGATGATGTGTGGAAACTGCTTGGCACACAGGAAGTGCCATGTTAACTACTAGGATTTTTGTGGTGGCCATTGCTCATCTGGGAAACACAGGTCCCAGCATAAAGAGGGCCTGTCTGTTTCCTTCACAGTTTCCCAATGGGGTTCACCAGGCTCCAAGAGGTGAGGCTTCCTCCTAAGAGTGGGAACCTGGCTCAGGGTGTCTGGGCCACCCCCTGACCGCAGTTGTCCCCATACCCACGGCATATATCTCGATGCTGATTGTGAAGATGGAGTGGGAGCGTGATGAGTCTTTGTTCATCAGGGTGTAGCCGACAGCACGGTTCTTCCAGCCCGTCTCCATGACACGCTCACACTGGGCCACGCTGTGCACCGTGTGCATGGACAGCCCCTTGACGTACACGCCTTTCTCCGGGTGCTCCTTCAGCTGTAAGCAGGGGGCCAGGGAAGGCTGAGATCACCAGGGATCCCTAAGGACCTCAAGGGCAGGGCTCTGTCCCTCCTCAACCACCTGTAATACGGAGGGGACTCCATTCGGTGGAGTCAGCTGCAAACCTACCCCTGCTTCCCACCTGTTGTGGGACCTGGGCCAGTGACAACCTGAACCTCAGTTTTTACATCTGGAAAATGGGCATGAGAGATCTACCTCATGGGCATGGTGAGGATTCAGTAAAGCAAGGCACATACAAAGCTTACTTGGCATGGCGTTGGGCACACAGTAAGTGCTCCATAAACACAACCATCATCTGTGCTGTTATTATTAGAATTATTACTGTAAAGGCGGTTTTTCAGTCTGAGACCCTCAGTTCCTAGGGGACGAGCCTGCAGTCACCCAGGGATTTGAGAATGTCCTTTCCTCTTGTCCTATTGATACGGCTTCTGATTATCTCTCTGCTGTACCTCCAGGACAACAGAAATGTTCCCAGACTCCAGGATGGTGGCATGGGGAGGGTCATTTGCTGCTCAAACTCCCACAGGCTCGAAGCTCAGCCCTTGGACACAGCAGCAACTAAACTCTACATGCATCTGCTATTCCTGGCTTGTTTTCCAGGCAGGCAGGGAGCTTCGTTGCTCACTTGGAGATGCAGAACACAGTATCTTTCAAGTGGGAGAGGAAATAAAACCACCCTGGTAAGAGCAGAATGAAGCTTGGGTGCAGTGGTGCATTCCTATAATCCCAGCGCCCCTGAGGCAGAGGAAGGAGGATGGCTACTAATTCCAGGCCAACTTGGGTGACCTAGGGAGGCCCTATCTTGGGCTGGAAAGAATCAGGACAACAGATATTTGCCTGCCAAATGACTATGTTGACTGAGCACAGAAGGCCCAGCTTGCCTACTCTGAGCAGGGGTCCCAGGTGGGGCCAGGCCCCTGCTGTGCAGTAGTGGTGACACAAGACACAGGCTAGCCCTACCTGCCTAGGTAAGAAGCCTGAAGGAGCTGGCTCTATGGGAAACAAGCAGTCGAGATACATAAAGGTTAACTGACTTAAAGGCCACAGATGGAAGAAGGCTCCAGAAACAAGGTAAGAGAGGTGGAAAAGATGGGCATAAAAGACAGGCAGAAGCCTCTATAAACAGAGTCGTGTAGCCCTTGAGTGCCTGGAGAGCTTACTACATGGATCCCACCACTCTCCTAGAACCTAGAACCTAGCCTGGGGCACACAGTGGACTTGGGGAGTGGCTTGTCACTCTCAGCCTCAGAAAGAGTCTATTTAGCCAGATTCCTATTTATTCAAAAGGACTCAGGCTGGAAACTTGGTCTGTTTCCTGCTAGGAGGGGATGTCAGATTCCCTGTGTTGCCTTACCTATGAAATAAGAGAATGAAACCCCGCTTCTGCAAGACTGTATGGGAATTAAAGAAACAGACCTAAAAAGTACTCACTGGGTCTGTGGGTACAGGTCATAAAAAGAATGCTGTCTTTCTTGAACCTGAGTAACCTCAGAAGTCAAAAAGGCCTGTCCTCCAACTCCTGACCCCCCACTACTTCTGCCCCTACCCCACTGCCAACACTGGCCCTGGGGAGGTGCTGAGCGAGAGCTGAGAGCTGTGAGATCTGTTCCTTGGTAACTGCTCATCTAGGCAGCAAAAAGCCAGAGTCAGGTCTCCATGGCAACCAGCTGGGTTACGGCAGGGATGGAGAGGGGCGCAAGAGTACAGAGGTGACCAGGGTCCAGGACTGAATCAGTAGGTAGAAGAGACTCCTATTCTCTGCCCTACACAGGGGTTAGAGCGGAGTCCTGGGGTAACCCCCGCAGGTCCTCTGTCATGCTCCTCTGTCACGCTCCCTGGTAGAGCTCCAGAATGTTGTTCCTACGGGCTGGGGGAGGGGGATGTGAATTGCCGTCCCCAAATCTCTTGCTGACCTTCACTGACTGAAAAACTGCCAGTTATAAAAAGGACCAGGATCGGTGTTGAATACCAGCTAAGAGCTTGTGTTGTATTGTGTTGAACCCTGTGTTCTGGGTTCAAATCCATCTCCACTCTCCGTGCTCTTGGGCTTGTGATAAAGGATGAGAGGAAGAGAATTGGGTCTCCTCCTACGGCTTACAGAAGACCCATCTGTGCATCACCCACAAGGCAGCATGTCAAAGGCCTGGTGCCCACGGAGTGCGCATCACTGAGCACATCTGTCACCCACAGTCCCTGTGCTCGCTAAAGGAGCACAGGGTGTGACAATGAAGCCCTTCCTAGGGTCCAGGGTAGTCCTCACTGCCCCCACATAGCTTGGTGGAAGGTCTGTTAGCAGGCAAGCCTGCGTGTGACCCTGAGATTGGCCTTCTGAAACAGTCAGCCCGTGTCTACCTCTGTCTATTTCTCTGGCCTGGGGCTGAGCATGACTCACTGGTACTGGGAGAGGTGCGGGGGAGCTTGCAGGCAGGTGGTAGAGTTCTGGCAGGAGTGCAAAGAGCTGCTAGGTTTGTGCTGAAACTGGCGGCTGCGGAGAAGGGGTAAAATTTTGGGGGAATGGATGGAGGCTGGGGCAAGGAGGGGCAGGAAGGAGGGGCAAGGTCCTGGGAAGGGGAAATGGATAGGCCAGGGGAGAGAGAGGAGGAACAGGAAGGAGGAGGGACAGGGTCCTGTGGGAGGGT